GCTAATTGAAAGTGTTCAGTCCCTTTTTGTGCCATTTACATAAAAAGCTTTTGTTCTTTCTAAAAGTTAACTATCCAGAAATGTTGAATTATCTTAGATTAAAAAGTATTAAGTCATTGTGGTACCAATGTGTTTTCAGAATTCTCAAATACACATTTGTCCAGATCAAAAAAAATATACAATTTGCAAAATAATTCTTAAGAAGGGGTTTTAAAATGTTTCTTCAGTTGTGCTTCTTTTTGTGTACCCAAACAAAATGGCGGCCCACCTGTTACCTTGATTGTCACAATTAAGAAAATGTTACTTGAAACTATATTTTTGTGCAGTGGACTATGTGCTTTTTCATCTAGATGGTAGGAGCTGTATTAAAGGATTCTAAAAAAAAAAAGTACCTTCAGGACAATGATGTGCATTTTTCACATACTTTCTGGGGTTTTCAAACATAGCAGGGAGTTTTCTTTTCTCTGTGACATGAATGTGCTAATACACAAGAGTACAAACTGGGCCCGTCTTTTTCCTGCCCTGTCCCTCAGCCTGCAGTATGGTGCTGACCCCTTTGTATGTAGTTTCTATTTATTCCCATTAAGACACTGAGAAATGAAAGAAAAAAGTACCACTGCTCTATAAAATCAAGGATTTTCCTCTCCACTACTAATGTATAATCAACTTAACGATTTACTTGAGTCTATGTGTATGAGTGACTGTTCTTGAGAGAAGACAAAGACTGAGAAATTGTGGTTAATCTATATAATCTTACATATCAAATATTTCTATATGCTTTTAACATGTGGTACTGTAATTTTTAAAATGGATTTTTATTGTTGAGCTGTGCACAACGCATGGATACAATTAAAGTAAGGTGTTTGGTTAACAGTGGTGCATATCAGCATATAGCATATCTAGAGACTAAGTAAAAGACGACAGCATAATTTTGCAAAGAAAGTCATCAAATTAGTGAGTATGTAGCCCAACCACACATACTTAAAGTGGGCTGGTGAAATTTCAGGATTGTGATGTCCCCTTGCTCCTGCCCTTGTTCTTGCCTTCTGGCACAGTGTTGTATCCTCGGACACAAAGATAACCTGTGAAATTCCCGCTGGCTGCCTTCATGGTACTGATCATTTAGCGGGTAGGGGGCAGGTTCTGACGCACAACGGAGGAACAAAGCATGTCTGTGTGCAGAGAAACAGCAGCAGGTGATTGTTCAGCAATAAACAGACATTCATTTACTGTACAGCTATTTGAAACATGGGACAACAATTAAGTCTACTTGATTTATAGTGGACTAATGAAAGAAAAGACTCATGAGCATGAACGTCATTTCCTGTGAATTCTATATTAACCTTATTCAGATGTGCTTCAGAGGTAAAATAACTTCCATCGCACAACAATTCAAGACTTTATCAGTATTTTTATTGTAGCTTTTAGTCCAGCTTTTATTTGTAAAAACAACAACAACTTGCTCCAATAACATGCTGTGACACAGTTGAAACATCAGTGCTTATTCACGTTTGTGGTGTGCATAGACCTAATCGATATCCTTCATTGTGGATTCCACCCACCTTTTCAAAATAGTAGTTTAGTTTTTCCAAGAGGTGATTTGGCAACATCCTTTTTTCTTTCTTTTTTTGAGGGGGGAGGAATAAGGGGATAGAATGTGCTAAAATATGATTTCTTTTGCAGCACCTGGGAAAGAAGAGAGAACAAGACAAGAAGACAGGTCAGCGCAATGGTCAGGAACCTTTCCCATGTTTCTTACAGAGAGCAGCACTTGAAGTATGATCATCTTGACTTTGTAAGTATACGTTCATGATATTTCACCCACTCAGTAACAGAAGACATCTCACACTATATGTCTGAACCAGGCCAGCTGGATATGAGGCATGTCGGTTCTGCACTTCACAACTCATACTTGGAGAGGGAATGAAAGTGACATCCCCAAAACATGCTTCCAATCTCATAACAAGTGAATGTCCTTCATGATTGTGCACACTTATTATGAACACAAAAGTGGCAGTGACATATACAGCACAGTTCTGTGTTTTGTCCGTTTTAATAGTGACAAGCAAAGTAAACTCTATAATTTAACATTGCTCTGTCTGTCATCAATGGATGTTTGGATGAGTGAACTTCTCAATGACAGGACCAATGTGTCTCTTCAGTGTGTCAGAGGAGGACAAGGTTAGTGGAGCTCCATTTAGGATTGTTCAACAGTATAGTGTTTCACCTAGGATTATACTGCTGGACAAGGTTGGGACAGTGTTTGCAAGCCTTTGCTAGCACTCTGAGTAAACAGAGCAGGGCTCCATATGTGACCTTTTTTTGAGAGTGTGCGAGTTAAATTTCAAGTGGTCGCATTCGTGCGAGTGAACAGTGATCATTTAGGTGTTTTGTTGTTGCTTTAACCAGCACAGGCAGCCACTGCATTAACCCTAGTGGTGGAAAGTATAACTTGTATTTATCCGTCAGTCTGTTCCTGCCTGATGCGTAAAACGAGCTGTTGAGCTGATGTGCTGTCTTCAACCAAAAGAGTTAGAGGTCCGACTCAGACACACCTAGTGATTGGAGTGCAGGTGCAGGCAGGAAGATACTGAGCCGGTGAGCTCGTTAATTACAATTGCTAACGCAGTGGTAGGGCTGCAAAATTAATCAGACTTTATAAAAACACTTTATTTCACTTTTTTCAAACTAACTTTTGCTCAGACAACTGTCTAGCAGCATCTATCACAGCTTGCAATGTGAGGTGTGTTTAAGGAACATCGGTAAATGTGGTGTGTGTCGATAAGCACCTCTGACCAGGTGAGGGGTGTGACTAACTGACAATGTTGGTCACACCAGTGCAACCAGTGAAAAAGTTAGTCTGGAGCCCTGCAGAGGTCAGGCTAATGAACAGCACTTTATATTCTTAGACTTAATTATATCTTGTAGAAAATGACCAAACAAGAAAACGTCACAATTAATCAGAAATTGTTTAACTGATGATAGGCACTGCATAGCAATATTTTCATTGTATATTGTTACATATTTAACAAAATCAACATATATTTTTTTAAAAAAGCAACAACAACAACATTTGACTGTGTATAGTGTATAGTATTCTTTTCTTTATAGCATTTTTATGGCAACTTGAAGTGTCTCAGTAAGGTGTTGAGTCACTATGTGCTGCCAAAACAGCTTCAATGCATCCTGGCATTGATTCTCCAAGGCTCTGACGCTCTACTGGAGGAATGAACAAAGTTTTTTCAAGATTTTCCTTCATCTGGTGTTTTGATAATGGTGGTGGAGAGTGCTGCTGTGACTAATCAGTTCAAAATTTTCTGTAACTACTCAAATGGATCCAAACTGGTGACTATGAAAGCCATAACACATAATTCTCATTCCCTGCAAGATGATGTTTGTGATCTTTGGGACAAGGTGGTGGTGTGCCAGGATACAGCTGCCACTCCAGATCAGCTGATCTTAGCAGGCATGCAGTTTCATTCTACTATTGAGTATAAAGTTGTGATGACCAAAAAAAAGTTGACTTGACGGGACATCTTATCATTTTGTTCTCATCAAACCATTCAGTGACCCCTCATGCCCTATTTAGTTGTCAACCTGACAGAGACCTCTACCATCAGGGTGAAAATGTTTTATCACAGGATAAAGGTGATCACTCTGAACAACTTTGTATTGACTTGAAATTAACCTTCTTGCTGAGGAACAAGTGGAGCTAAACCCTGGAAGCAAAATGTGTCCATAAGGCACAGAGATGCATATACCAATGAACAAAAAAACACAAGATTATAGTTTGAGATGGTGCTGTTATAATGTACTGCACAGCTGTTTTTCCTACACTAGTTTATTGCAAAGGATTTCCTGTAGAAAATCAAGGTGTCCTACATAAATGTTTAAGATTTAAAATGGTAAAGCGAGGTTATGCCCTGCACCACCCTGCCCTTTGTTATTTAGGTCCTTAAAGTCCATCTGTTGTTGCATCTGTTGTTGTGATTTATAGGCAGCTTACTGCCCTATGGTCTCCATTTGATGAAATTACAATGCACTTCCTCTGACAGCAACACCTGCTGAACCACAGACAAGTTCTGCAGCTTGTTGTTTGGACAGGTTTACACACATTTTCATGATTCCAGCTGCCATCAGGAACACAAACAAAACGATGGATTTACTCAGATTTACTGCACACGATTTGTTAAAACCAAACATGTTATTTCCATATAACTGAATTGGCAGCAATAAAGTCGAGGCCTCAAACAATATGACAGAACCAGGAAGTTGAACCTCAGGCCTAGTTTTGAACAGACATGTTGGTTAAAGATGGAAAATGCAGATCTACCCTAAAATAGATAAACAAAATGGTTATTCTGCATCATTTTGCTTTAAATATAGATTTTAAATGTCAGGTTTGTAATCAGGTTGGAACGATAATCCAACCAAATGTCCTCACTTCTAGCAAATATTTTCAGCCAGTAACCACTGAACTGGAACTGACTGATTATTTGTAACTTGATGACATCCCATAAAGAGATTCCAAAAGATGTTCACACCAGGCAGGTCCTAAGACACCAGAGCCTTATCAGTGAATGTTGCTCTGCTTAGACAACAACAGGACGTTCTTTTGATTGTCCATATATGTAGCCATGTATGATGTTGACAGCATGTTAGCCTTTGTAGCAGACTTTGAGCTCCTTTACTTAGCTCTAATCTATTCCAGGCGTTAGTTCAGCACTCAGTTCTCCGTCATAGGTCCCATTCCCAGCTGTCCACAGTCCTTGTATCTCTGACTTCTGCAATCACATGCACACGCAAGGGAAGGTGTGAGACACCTTGTCTCTCTTAAGTTTGAAATCTGATCCAACTGTGCTTTCAGATGAAGTTGCTATTGTTAGAATGCTTGATATTTACTGAAGGTCACTTGAGGAGGTGTTGAGTATTGGTCCCTGCCTCCGTATGTCCTTCTCTTGTCTTGCCCTTTCTCCTTGCCTTCATTCAGACAATGAAGTAGGTAGTGGCTGGTGCATTTGCACTGAGATCTAGAAGACATTTTCTATAGATTGAAAGACTGATTAAACTCAACATTACATGAAGACATGAGAAATGGGGCAAAAGGTAGGGTTGAATTACACAATTTCCTAATGAATTCAGCAAAATAATGTTTTTTTTTTTTTTCATAATTTGAAATGCTTTATTTGACATATAATCTGCAATTTTGCACATTAAATGGGTATTTTAAATTGTTTCATTCAATCGTTTTGTAATAGGTGCAGTTTTATTGATGTTGTTTGTAATGTTAATTGAGCTGTTACTTCTTAAACATTAACGAGTGAATATATAGATGAAAGGCTTTCTGCTTCAAAGTGACAACAGATTCAAAGTAAAGGATGTCTGCTGTAATATATTTCAATGATGTGCTTTACATAGAAACCTTTAATCTGCAGTAATATTGCATGTTTGAATTACTCCTATTTGAAATACGGCAGATGTGTCTTTTCAGCCAGTTTTCTTACCCTTTTATGTTTTTCTCTTTTGAAAAAAATCTTTTGTTGTGGAACAATACAAGTCAGAAGAATGAGGCATCTTCTGCAAGAGCATCTCCTCATAGCAGGTAAGCTTATTAGTGAATTGCTGGCAAGATGTTCATAATACGCCAAACAAATCAGATAATTATCTATGACATATGAGTTCTGTGTACATAAAATGTAATGATTATATAGTAATGTGTGTGCTATGGTGAGGAAGTAGAGCGCGTTTGCTGTCTGTGTCCATCAGTCAGTTTGATTTAATGTATTATGACCTAATTTAAATCTGTCTGTGTAACTCGTCTCACTGGGACAAGTTATTTTCTTCATGGTGTTTTGTGTCCATAAAATTAAAGCTAATTAAGTGGAAAAACCTAGCCAATGCCCTGCATATATTGAAAAAATGCTCTTGAAAGACAGCTCAAATGTATTAGAACTCTAGCCATTTTTTTGGCCACACCCAACTCCCACAACACCCATAGAGCTGTTGAACATGAAACTGTTCAGCCTTTCTAAAGCTATATTGATTGAATCCTACAGCTGGTAACATATGACCAGGTCATAATGCACACTGTGTACTGTAAGTCTAGATCTGCCTGTGAGAGTCCCGTAGCATGTCACTGTGTGTACTCCAATGTAAGGCTGCATGATATTTAAAAACAAAAAAGATATTGCAATATTGCGTTATAGTTATTCTGTGCTATGTATTGCAATATTAAAACATACAGGAATTCAGCAAATACAGAAAGACTTAAGAAATGTAATTTGTTGTAGCCTTGTGGAGGTGATTTAAATGGTCCAACAAATTAGGCGTGTAGCCTCATGTAGTGGCAACAACTGCAAGACACTAGGGACTCGTTTTCTTTTTGCAACCAAATCCTCCTTTTCAACAAACTCTGTCTGGAGTATTCAAACTCTTAAATCAGAGTAAATGGTTTTATCTCAGACAGACTTATCTTTTTAGATAAGTTAGAAAATGAGAACAAAGCAAAAAAAGTTCTGGCAAGATGTGTTTGCATTACTCCACATCACAATTTTCACAGTGTGTCTGTTGCATATGTGCTCAATACTAAAGTCTACTCCATATATTGATTTTTATTTGTGATGTCTGTATACAGTGGCATTTTTATGTTTTATTCATAGTTTTATTTATAGTCACTCTTCCATACACGTGTCCGGGCTGATCCAGTATTCAGCAGCTAAGTGATCAATTCATTAATGACTTTGCTACACTGCTCACCCATCTGTCCACTCTATCACCAAATATTATGCTGCTTGGAGACTTCAATATTCATATGGATAACATCAACCACCCCCTCACCAGAGACTTTGCATCATGCCTGGACAGTTCTGGATTCTCTCAGCAAATCACCTCTCCTAGACACTCAAAAGGACTCACTCTGTCCAACCTTTCTGTTGACGAACTCCCAATAACTGATTGTTCTCTCATCTCTTTCACTGTTATTCTTACTCTCTCCATCTCTAAGCGTCCACGTCACATTTCTTTCTGTAACATAAAGCACATTGATATTAAGTCTCCTCCAGTATCGACACCTTTCTCACATCATCTTTTTACCCCTGATGACCTGGTTTCTCACTCCAACATCGGACTCAACAACATCCATGATGTTTTATCTTGGTTTAACTGTCTTATTTTAACTCAGTGTTCGGTGACCTTGAGTTCTGTGAAAGGCGCCTTTAAATAACATTTATTATTATTACTATTATATGTACTAATATGTGGTGAAGCTAGACAAACAGTCAAGGCAAAGTTCGAGATGCAGATTCATTTTATTCTACTGAACAACCAGCATGCTTAGGGAGACACCATTATTAGGACATCGGGTGCCTCAGAGAAAACAGTCCGTTCAGTGGGCTTCACTCACCGTCGAGCCCTTTCTGAAATAAGAGAGAAACAGTAAAAAGTGAAACATTTATTTAAACATTATTCAAAATATATACTGTATTTGAATGCATTGCACTTTGTAAAGCAATTGAGCATTCGAAATCTTTAAGTTTATAATTAAGAGTTTCATAGACACTGGTTATTGTTTCATTAGTGGCATCAGGGGATACTGGTAATGATACACTCATAAACAGGACTGTAGTCTTTTTATTCAAATTCATATATATGTTTATTATTATATATATTTCATTCATAATATGCCATTGACAGAGTATTTATGTGTACCAAAAACAGAAAAGGACAACAACAAAAAAAAAGCCATTGACTGACCTTTGACCCCACATCACGGCTCTTGACACGCAGCTTGTTGACCTGAGACTCAGCGATGTCAGCTCTCTCTTCAGCTTCATCAAGCTCATGTTGAAGCTTACGGAACTTGGTAAGATTGCTGTTGGCTTGTTCCTCCTGTACAAGAGAAACACGATATCCTCATCAGTGTCTGGTATGTTTTTTGTAATTATAATGTGGTTCTAGGCTCCCTCCCCCCCACGACCTCAGTGAGGATTAAGTGGTGTGTAGATAATGGATGGATGGATGGATGCAGCTCATTTACTGAAACGTGGCATATTTTTAATGATGGAGTGCCAAAGTTAGGTTAGTGTGCTCCAAATTGTGCTCACAGTCAATCCTGGCTATTGTATTGAATAAGTACAAGCGCTGTGTGCTTCAGCAAGTGTGATATTGTTTTCTATATTAGTTTCTCTCAAATATTAGGAGTACTTACAGCTTCCTCTGCAGTTTTCTTGTAGGATTTAACCTTGAGCTGCAACTTGTCTACCAAATCTTGCAGACGACTAAGATTCTTACGATCCTCTTCTGTCTGTAAACAAACAAACAAACTAACTGTAAATTCTGTAATTGATCAGATTCAACATAGTTTATACGATGCACCACCATTTTCCAGATGGACTGAAGCTTACCTGATAGGTCAACTCTTTGATTCGTCTCTCATATTTTCGTATTCCCTTGACAGAATCGCTGGACTTTCTTTGTTCAGCTTCTACTTCACTTTCCAGCTCTCTGATCTGTAGATGGAATGATATGCTGATTAAGTTCTGTATATTCACAATTTTTTTGTATATTGTCTTTGTATGATGATTGTTGCATGAGTGATGTCTAAGAATCTTGCTTGTTAGTTTGACTTCTCTGAAATTACTGAAACTCACCCTGGCCTCCAGCTTCTGCACCTGCTTCTTTCCTCCCTTCATGGCGATCTGTTCAGCTTCATCCAGACGGTGCTGCAGGTCTTTGATGGTTTGCTCCATGTTCTTCTTCATACGCTCCAGGTGAGCGCTGGTGTCCTG